AGACATATATATATTTCATGCCCATCTGTAGACATCACCCTTTGGAGTTCATTGACTCATCATGCCACCATATGGGGGAAGCGACCTGATGGCCCATAACAATAACTTCCCTCGTTGTTGTAGGTTTTTCCGGGCTGTTTGGCCGTGTTCTGAAGGTTTTTCTTCGTAACGTTTCGCCAGTCTCTGCGGCCGGCAGATAACTTCCCTCTTCCTCTGTTGCCCCAAAGGGAACAAAGCATCTCTTGTACACCCCGGAGAGTAACAGGTTTTCTCTGCCACCAGCTTCGATGGCCACAGTCCACTCCTTTCGACGCACGAAGGGGGCAGGGGCTTGAATGTCGAGGACTGGAGGCCCACGAGAGCCCCACGGAGCAGCCCCTCAGAGGGACCAGAAGCCTCTCCCTGGTGCCACTACTTGTTGTCCGTGAGGTAGCTTTTGTCTCGGTCCAGACCAGAGGACGCCTCTTTCCGCCCGACCTGCCGCTCTGAACTTCTTCAGGCCAAAGCCCGGGCCCTGAAAGGGCAAAGCAAGGCAAGGCAAGGCTAGGGAAGGCGCCCTGTGGTGCAGAGGCCGCCCAGACCAAGGGAAGACCCTTCCGAGAGGGAGAGGGGAGATGGTCGCGTGTTGCTTTCTTTTCTCTCGGTCAAGCCCCACCGCAGCTGCACCAGGGAGCAACGGCGCGAGATCCGCAGCTCGCCTCCCCACCAACTCCGCCGAAGTGCCCCTAAAGTTCCTCGACGCCCAGCGGTGCGCGGGTCAGCACCGCGCGACCTGAACCTCTCCTCCCGCCACCACCATCACCACCACCACCAAATCTCGGACACCCCGCCGCGCGCGCACACACACACACACGCACGCACGCACACCTCCCCTTCCCACACCGCGATCCCCTCCCCTCGGCTGCAGCACCTGGCGCCGGCGCCCCTCGCATTGGCTGCGCGCGCCCATCAATCAGCGTCGGGCGCTGCTGACATCATGCTGCAGTAGAGGGGCTGGGCCGGGCTGGGGCAGAGAAGGCAGGCAGCCCGAGGAAGCGGCAGGCAGGCAGCTCCCGCCCTGCCCAGTCCAGTCCCGTCCCGTCCCGGGGAGCCACGCCGGGCTGCGCGTGCTCTTCGTCCTCGGAGCCGCGCTTCGGCCGCCCCGCACCTGCTTGCCCAGAGGTGGGGTGGACGCCGTCTGCCGGGAGGGCCGGACGGGAGCCGTCAGGGGAGGACCAGCCGGCCAGAGACCGACGCCCCGCTCTAGGGAGCGGGAGTGCCCCCCCGGGCTCCTAGCCAAGATGGGCTGGGGGCAGCCCCTCGTCTCCCTCGCCCTCTGCCTCGCCCTCCTG